TTATCTCATTGTGGTTTTAATTTCATTTCCCCTGATTATACTAGTGATGTTGATTCTTTTTATTTACTTATTGGCCATTTGTTCATCTTTTGTGAAGCATCAGTTAAGATCTTTTGTCCATTTAAAAAATTGGATTGTTTTCTTGTCATTTTGTTTTGAGTTTTAATGTATTTGGATTCAAGTCCTTTGTCAGATATGTTTTCTCCTGGTTTGTAGATTCCTTGCTCTTTCCTTTCATTGATAATTTCTTTTGAAGAGCAGAAGTAAATTAAATTTTGAATAAATCTAGTTTATCAATATTTATTTTTGGTCTGTGCTTTTTTCCCTTTCTTCTTCCTTCTTCCCCTCCCTACCCTCTCCTCCTCCTCCTCTTTCTTCTTTTTGTTTTTGCCTGAAAATCTTTAGTTAACTCCAGGTTATGAAGATTTTCTTCTGTGTTTTCTTCTGAAAGTTTTACAGTTTTAGCTTTTACACTAGGTCTTTGGTCCATTTTTAGGTAATTTTTATGTAGTGTGTGAGGTAAGGATCAAGGTTAATTCTTTTCCATATCTAGTTGTTTCAGGACCATTTCTTTAAAAAAAACCTACTTTTTCTCCTTTGAGTTATCTAGAAAACTTTTGTTAAAAATGAGCTAATCATATAAAATATGGATATTTTCCTAGATTCTTAAGGTGATCTATATGTCTATTATGCCAACCTAATACTGTTTTTATACTGTCTTGAAATCAGTGGTAGAAATTTTCTAACTTTGTTCCTCTTTGATTGTTTGGGTCTTCTAAATTGTTTCCATTTCCATGTTGATTATAGAATTAGTTTGTACATTTAACAAAACATCTCTAGGAATTTTGATTGGCATTACATTGAATAGAATAATTTGGGGAGGATGAATTCTAGACTGTACTGAGTTACTCAAACTCAAAGACCTGATATATTTTCACTTATTATTCTTTAATTTCTCTCATCAGTGTTTTGTAGTTTTTATTGTGCTAGTCTTTACTGTCTTGTGTTAAACTTATCCTAAGTGAATAGATTATGAATTATATTTTTGGGTGTTATTGAAAATGCAGTTAAAATATATTTTACAATGGTCATTGTTAGTATGCAGAAATACAGTTGATTTTTATATGCTGAATGTGTATCCTACCTTATTAATTCATAATTTTTTCTGAATTTTTGTGTGACTTCCTCAAGACAGTCTTTGCAGATGATTGTTAATTACAAATAAAGAGAGTTTTATATCTTTCTTTCCAATCTTTATGTGTTTTACTTCTTTTTTGTTTTTCTTGTTCATTCATTTTTGACACAGAAACAGAACAGGAGTTGGGGAGGGGCAGAGAGAGAGGGAGACACAGAATCCAAAGCAGGCTTCAGGCACTGATCTGTCAGCACAGAGCCAGATGCAGGGTTTGAACCCATGAATCGTGAGATCATGACCTGAGCCGAAGTCAGATGCTTAACTGACTGAGCCACCTAGGTGCCATTTTTAAAATTTCTATTTTAATGTGCTGAGTAGGACTTATGGTGAAGTGTTAAATATAAGTGGTGAGAGTAAGGATTCTTACCTTATTCCTGGACATAGAAGGCTATTCAGACTTTACTATGTATGGTGTTAACTGCAAATTTCTTTATAGATACTATATATCAGGTAGCGCACGTTCCCTTTTATTTTTAATATACTGAGGGCTTTTATTATAAACAAACAAAAGTGTCTACAGAAAGAACCGTTTTGGTTTTTCTTTTTAAATTTATTAATTTGATGAATTACAATGATTGGATTTTAGATCCTAAATCAGCCTTTGCATTTCAAAGACCCATTTGGTTATGATGTATTATCCTTTTATTATCATTCTAAATTTGAGAACTTAATTTGTAATATTTTTTAATGATTTGGAAATCTTTGTTCATGTTAAGCAAAGTCTGTTTTGAGAGAGAGAGAGCACAGGAGAGGCAGAGAAAGAGAGAGAATCCTAACAGGTTCTATGCTGTCAGCACAGAGCCCAACGCGGGGCTTGAACTCACGAACCGTGAGATCATGATCTGACCCCAAATCAAGAGATGGACCCTTAACTGACTGAGCCACCCAGGCACCCTGATATCATTTCTTTGAGGTAGTGTTATGGACTCAATATTTGTGTCTTCCCAAAACATACATGTTTTAGCCCTAACTCCCAGTGTAATAGTATTCGGAGGTGGGACCTTTGGAAGGCAGTTAGATTTGGATGAGGTCATGTGATTAAAGCCTCCATAATGGGATTAGTGTCCTTATAAGAAGAGGAAGAGCCCTGAGCTTCCTTGCTCCCTCTCCTCACCACATGAGGACATGTGAGGTCATAGTGGGAAGGCATCTCTTCGTAAGCCAGCAAGAGGTTCCTCATCGGGTCACCAAATTAGCCAGCACCTTGATCTTGGAATTCCCAGTCTGCAGTACTATGAGAAGTAAGTACCTGTTGTTGAGCCATTCATTCTGTGGTGTTTTATTATGGCAGCAGAAGCTGATGGGACAATGTAATGTCTTTGTCAGATTTTGGTATCAAGGTAATGATCATCTCATTAGAAAACTCATTTGAAAAATCCACCACTCTTTTATTACACTAGGAGTAAAAGGAAATTTCCTCAGTATGAGAAAAGACATCTGTGTAAAAACAGAGCTATGTAGTGGTGAAAGAGTGAATCCTTTTCTCCCAGATCAGGAACAAGCCAAGAATGTTGCTGTTGCCAATTCTATTTGATACTGTATTGGAGGTTCTAGGCAAGACAGGTGAGAATATTTGTGGGGTGATAGGATCTTTATAGAAAGCCCTAAAAAATCTATTAAAGTGTATTACAGCTAATGAATGATCAAATTGCAAGGTACTAGAGCGGTATATAGAAATTAATTGTATTTCTATACACTAGCAATGAACATAATATAAAAGTGAAATGAAGAAAAGTCCATTTAAAATAGCAACAAAAAATCAAACAGAAACAAGTTTAATGAAAGCAGTAGAAAAATTCTCCAAAATCTACAAAAATTGCTGGAAGGCATTAAATAAATGGAAGGATGTTGTAAGTTGGCAGCAGTCTTTCAAATGATCTATAAATTCAAGGCAATCTATATCAAAATCCTGGCTGCCTTTTTTTTTTCCAATGAAAAACTGATCTTAAAATTCATACAGAAATTCAAGGTACCTAAGATAGTAAAAGCAATCTTGAAAAAGAACCAAAAGTGAAGGACTCCTCCTAATTTTAAAGCTTACTACAAAACTACATTAACCAAGACAGTGTGATCTTGGTATAATGAGAGACATAAAGATCAGTGAAATAGAATTGAGAGTCCAGAAAATAAACCCTAATCCTTATGATTAATTGATTTTTGACAAAGGTGCCAAAATAATTTGATAGGAAAAGGCTAGTCTTTTCAACAAATGTTGCTGGGACAACTGAGTATCCATTAGCAAAAGAATAAAGTTGGACCCTTTCCTTAACCATCCATTAAAATAGATGCCAAATGGATTATAGACCTAAGTGTAAGAACTAATGCTATAAAACTTAGAAGAAAATTTAAGAGTCACTCTTCATATCTTTGGGTTAAGTTGAACCTTCTTAGAAGACATCAAAAGCATAAGTGACAAAGAAAATCGACAAATTGGACTTGATCAAAATTAAAAACTTATACTTCAAAAGAGACCGTCAATAAAGGAAAACCCAACCCACCAGCGGGGAGAAAGTATTTGCAAATCATATCTTTGGTAAGGGACTTGTATTCACAGTATATCAAGGACTCTTAGAATTCAAAAAGACATTTGGCAAAAGAACATTACTTTAAAATGTACAAAGTATCTGAATATATATGCTTTGGGAGAAATATGAAAGATGTCTATTTGTCCCATCTGTTGTTTTTTCTTTCTTTTTTACTTTCTTTAGGATTGGTTGAGTATTTTAGTGTTTATTTTTATATTACCTTTTAGGTTATAAGCTGTACATCATTGTATATTTTTATTTTTCACCTAGTGATTCCTATAGGATTTATAATGTCCATCTTATCACAGTCCATATTCAATTCATATTTTATCACTCTACATGTAATTTAAGAACTTTACAACAATCTGTCAATTTCCTTTCACTCTTTGTTGTATATTTTACCACTGTGTATTATGTAAAACATCACCACTAACATTTTTCTTTATTTTTTTCTTTTTCTTTTTTATTCAAATTCAAAGAAATGTTTATTTACTTTGAGAGAGAGAGTGAGAGAGCTCACAAGTTGGGGAGGGGCAGAGAGAGAGAAAGGAGAGAGAGAGAATCGCAAGTAGGCTCCACGCTGCTAGCACAAAGCCCGACGTGTGGCTTGAACTCATAAAAATGACATCATGAGCTGAGATTAAGGGTCAAACGCTTAACCAACTGAGCCACGATGGCACCCAATGCAGAAAAAATGTTTTTCTTTAAACTATCAATTTTATTTTAGAGGAATTAAAAAATGAGAGTCTATTATATTTACCTATATAATTACCTTTTTTCATGCTTTTCATTCCTTCATGTAGATCTTTGCTTTCATAGTTCATCAAACTGAAGAAAAATTATACTATAACATTTTTTATAGCACAAGCTTGCTGTAAACAAATTCGCACCTTTCATTTGAAATCTTTTTTAGCGTTTATTTTTCACTTGTACCCTGACAGCTTCTTTTCCCCTTGTATTTCTTCCAGTTCTTTAAAAATATCTTCCCATTGTATTCTGGCTTACTTTTTTCCTCCCTTTTCTTTGGCTGAAGTCAGTGGTGTTCCTTATCATTTTTTTCCAGTGACTAATATTGTAATTAAAAAAATGTTTAAACTTTTATGTTTTTCAGACAGTATATTTGTCAACCGTTGTTTTTTTTTAAGTATGATATGTCTTGATGTAGTTTTAAAAATATGCATCTCTTTAAGTTCTGTTGGTTTCCTGGATCTGTAGGGTTATGGTTTTCCTCAAATTTGTGAACTTCATATTAAAAAAATTTTTTTTTCATGCTTGCTTCGGCAAGCAATGCTTTAGCAATACTAAAATTGGAACAATACAGAGAAGGTTAGCATCGCCCCAGCACAAGGATGACATGCAAATTTGTGAAGCGTTCCATATTTTTCAGAAGACATGAAGAGACATGGCCAATAGACACATGAAATGATGCTCAATGTCACTCATCATCAGGGAAATACAAATCAAAACCACACTGAGATACCACCTCACGCTGGTCAGAGTGGCTAAAATGAACAAATCAGGAGACTATAGATGCTGGTGAGAATGTGGAGAAACGGGCACCCTCCTATACTGTTGGTGGGAATGTAAACTGGTGCAGCCCCTCTGGAAAACAGTGTGGAGGTTTCTCAAAAAATTAACCATAGAACTCCCCTATGACCCAGCAATAGCACTGCTAGGAATTTACCCAAGGGATACAGGAGTGCTGATGCATAGGGGCACATGTACCCCAGTGTTCATAGCAGCACTCTCAACAATAACAAAATAATGGAAAGAGCCTAAATGTCCATCAACTGACAAATGGATCAAGATGTAGATTATCTATACAATGGAATACTACATGGCAATAAGAAAGAATGAATTCTGGCCATTTGTAGCAATGTGGATGAAACTTGAGGGTACTATGTTAAGTGAAATAAGTCAGGCAGAGAAAGACAAGATATCATACGTTTTCACTCATATGTGAAACAGGAGAAACTTAAACTAAGGACCATATGGTCCTTAGGACCATAGGGTAAGAGGGAAAAAATAGTTAAGGAGAAGGAGGGAGGCAAACCATAAGAGACTCTTAAATACTGAGAACAAACTGAGGGTTGATGAGGGGTGGAGGAGAGGGGAAAATGGGTGTTGAACATGGAGGAAGGCACTTGTGGGGATGAGCACTGGGTGTTATATGGAAACCAACTTGACAATAAACTATAATAAAAATAAAAAAATAAATAAAATCAGTGTTTGTTGACTACCTGCAAAAAATTTTTTTTCTGCTTCTCTCTTTTGGGGATTTATGTATCCATATGATTGATTACTAGATATTATTCCACAGGCCACTGAGACTCAATTCGCTTTTTCTCAGTCTTTCAGCTCATCTGCTTCTTTTTGTTTTTATTGCTATGCCTTCAAGTTAAAGGATCTTGTCTTCTATGTTGTCATAAGAACATCTATTGAATTTTTTAAAAAGGTTTTTTGATTCAATTTCTGGAAGTTTTACTCTTTAAAATACGTATTTATTATTTTTTCTTTTTAAAGTTTATTTATTTATTTGGAGAGAGATGAGAGGGAGAGAATCCTGCTGTACTGCCAGCACAGTGCCTGATGCAGGGCTTGAACCCATGAAACCATGCGATTATGACCTGACCTGAAACCAAGAGTCAGGGGGTTAACCGACTGAGCCACCCAGGCACCCCTGGAAGTTTTACTTTTTAAAATAGTTTTCATTTCTTTCATCATCATTTTACATTTAAACATAAATTTTTGAATATATTCATAATTAGGGTGCTTATGAACTAGCTACAATGCTGGTTCCGTTGTATCTGCCATTTTTGTATCATTTTCTCTTGTTTTGTCTTGCTTGAGTCACATTTTTCTTTTTCACATGTGTAGTAATTCTTTGTTGGTGATAGGCATTGTGAACCTTGCATTGTGAATGTCTCGATTTTATGGGCCTTTAAAAAAATATTAGTTTTGGCAGGCAGTTTTAAATTCTTTGTGGATCAGCTTGATTTCTTTGAGGCTAGTTTTAAGCCTTGTAGGATTGTTCTTGAGTAGCCTGTATTCTAGAATATTTCTAGACTGAAGCCCTGTGGTTAAGCATAGGACTCCCTTATGTGGCTTTCCTTCTTCAGGGATCGTGGTTCTATACTGCCATATTGTCCAATGTCTGAAAACAGTTTTGTATATTTTGTACAGTTTTCAGGTTGATCATCGTGGGAATGGAGCGTGTCTGGTGCCAGTTATTCCATCGTAGCCAGCATTAGAAATATCCTGTTACTCCCTTTTTTAGTACCGAAATTTCAGAAAAAAATAAATGTCTTTGGGTATAAAGGTGCCTGGGTCGCTCAGTCGGTTAAGCATCTGACTCTTAATTTCGGCTCAGATCATGATCTCATGGTTGTGAGATCGAGCCCTGGATCCAACTCTGTGCTGACAGCATGGGGAATTCTCTCTCCCAGCCTTTCTGCCCTTCCCCTACTCATGTGTTTTCTCTCTCTCTTTCTCAAAATAAATAAACTTAAAGATTTTTATTTGTGGATATCCTGCTGTAGAAAATAGTTGAACATTGTTCAGCCAGACTTGTTCCTTCCTTCCTTTCTTCTCTCCTTCCCTATCTTCCTTTCTATCTTTCTTGATGTCTTTTTTTTAAATTGTGCCACTCAAACTTCTACAGTTTTGACCTATTGAAGATACTCTTCTTCTAGTTTTCTTGTTCTGTTATTCCTCCTCTAATATTTTGTTCATATTGAGACCACTTTCAATTTTCAGTGACTTTTTGTTTTTGAAACTATGATTATTACTATGTTTTGGATTGTCCTTGTTACTCACAAAAGGAAGTTTTAATGTTTAATCTTGGCACTTAAGGGCCTCTCAAGTTAGGCTTGTAGTCTGCTTTGCCTACCCTTATTTTCTACCTTTTTATACCTAATGCATGCTGCAATATTTTGGTCAGCATTCCTCTACTTATGTACTATCTCTTTTTCTTTGATATTACTGTTTCCTTTGTTGAAAGCCCCTTTTCACCTCTCCCTGTCAAAATGCTAATCATTCTTCAAAGTCTCTCATTTTTTTATGGTGGTGCCTTTCTTACTTGAAGGTAAAGGTCCTTTGAGTATTTGTCAAGTAGTCCTTATAATTGTGAGGTTTTTGGATGCTTTATTCATCTTTGATTCTTCTGTAGTGCCTTAGCAGCCTAGAACCTGGCACACAGTTGATGTTCTGTAAATGTTTATTGAACTGTAAACAGTTCTTTAAAATTGGAAGCTTTTAGGAGATCCTGAAGTAGATTTCCAATGTAGCCTGTTGACAGAATAACTTATGTGTAAGAATGTTCTATTACAGGTATCCAATTTCTTTAAACACACATTGTTTTGCATGGCTGCAGCTCTAGAGTAGGGACTAGATAGAAATAAAGGGTCCATATTTGATCCCAGTAATGTTTACCCAGTAAAGATGAGATGGCTATGAGTGATCTGGGGGTGGTATACTACTCATTCTATGATATAATCCATGTTTTTGTTTAACTTTTAGCCTGTTTTGGTCAACATATCTTTTAGTGAGGGGCAGGAACTATTTACTGTGGCATGGGTGAACACAGGTAAGCCATGTAATTGAATGCAAGTAAGAAATAATTGACATAAGTCAATGACTTGTATACAGTTGGTAGACACATAGCTATTTTCTGCATGCTATGACTAAGCATGGATATGGGTGCCGTGGAGGAACAGAGAAGGATCACTTGGGTGTTTGGTGACCTTTTTAGGTTCTCAGAGACATGTATCTAGGTATAGATTAGGGAGGACCAAATGTACCGCTTGCACTGATAGAGCAGTCCATTTTTGGTCAGGCCTTCAGATATGAGAAAGTCTGTTGACATTAGTTAGTTTTGTACACTCTTTCATTTATTTATACCTATTGTCAATTTGTTGAGGTCATGCCTTTGAAAACCATTTTCTTGAGGACCCATGATGTGCTGGGGGCTTGTGTTGGCACTGAAAAGGTGAGAAAGACATGCCTCCTGGGGGAGTGGTAATGATCTTCAGAAGTCTTGATTAGTGAGTGATTGGAGGCCACCATTTAAAGACCCTGATGTTTAATATTTTTATTTGTCATAAAGCACGTGGGCATTGGTAGTGGATATAGTTTTTAAAACAGCCTTTCAGGGTTATGTTTTGTACCTGATACTTTGTTTGATAAGAGAGATGGTTTAATTGCTTCTACAACTTTAGGCAGCGATATTTGCGTCTTTGGAATTAGTCTTTAGGAAATCATCACCAGCAAAGAAATCCATAATTTGTTAATTTTCTGAAAAGACATAAATTTTTTGTTATGTTGCACAATTGTGTGTTGTGTAATGGTGACTGAAATTTAAAAAGCAGTTTGTTGGAAGAATTTTACTGTCTAAATCAGTTATTTTTAATAAAGATTAAAATATTGGCATCACAATTGGTTAAAAAACCCAGTTTCTTTTTTTCTTTTTCCATTGTATTGGCCCTTTGTAAACAGATGGTTAGATTAAAAGCTATCTAAATGAAAGTGCCTTGAAGCAAAAATTTATAGATATTTGGAAAAGAAAATATAGTTAGTGCATAAAAAATTCTTCGGGCCTCTTATTCAGAGAGTTTCATTAATTATCCTCCTTAGCTGATGACACCCTGTTATCAGTGGTCAGGGCAAGACACTTTTCTTGTTTTATAGTACTACTTTTTTGCTTTTACTCTAATCCCCACTGTGGTTTTCTACCCCACCCAAATCTTCCCTGGTAGATCTCCACTCCTATGTGTTTGGTATAAACCCTTGGATTGGTACTTGTCTTCAACAAATATGGAGTGGTTTTTATGTTCTGACCTTGAGATTTCATTCATTCATTCATTCATTCATTCATTTAAATGTGTATTTAGTTTTGAGAGAGAGAGAGAGATGGAGAGTGAGTGGGGGAGGGGCCGAGAGCGAGGGAGACACAGAATTTGAGGCAGGCTCCAGGCTCTGAGCTGTTAGCACCGAACCCAACACAGGTCTTGAACTCAGGAACTGTGAGACCCTGACTGGAGCCGAAGTTGGACGCTTAACCGACTGAACCACCCAGGTGCCCCTCATTTGTTGTTTTTAGATTAGACATGTTGTGGTATATATGTGGTGTGTGTGTGTGTGTGTGTGTGTGTGTGTGTGTGTGTGTGTTTAGTTACTTCTAAATGTAGTTTATTTACATCTAAGTTACCTGTCCAGGTATTGGACACCTGGTTGCCAGTATCACTCAAATAGTGCTGTGATAAGCATCTTCATACTGGTTCAATATGATCTTATACATATAGTTTTTGGGGTTGTATAACTAAGAGTAGGATTGTAGGGTCAGAGCATTGGGGCTTACCTCAGCATTTTCTCCACTCATTCATTTAT